CTCTTATGAACGCTCTTCTGTTGGGAATTCTCACTCAACATCTCATAAAGATTATATATTTCCTTCTCCGTGTGGCTCCCGATATCTCCTCCGGCCGCATGGTCAACCATATATTGGAGGGTTTGGTGGAGCCCGTCATAGAAAACTTGATTGAGGACTCCGAGGCAAAAATGGTGATGTGGACATTGGAGTTGATACCCCTTGAATCTCTCCCAAGCCTCGTGAGAAGTTTCCCCGATGTTTTGGCTAAAGCTAGCCATTTGGGTGCGGAGGTCGGTGGTCTTTTGATGCAAGTAGTACTTTCCCATAAACTTTTCATACACGACTTCCGAATTTGTGAGTGAATTTGGGAGCAACGTCATAAACCAAGTCTTGGCTCGATCCTTCATCGTGTAGGGAAAGCATCTCATTCGGAGTTGGTTCTCGGTTAGGCCTTGGAGGGGAAAGGTGTTAACGGTGGAGTAGAATTCTTGGATGAAGTTTAAGGCATCTTGTTGGGCAAGGCAGTAGAATAAGGGAAGTTTGTTTAGGTGGATGGTTTTGAGGTCATAGTTTTGGGTCGCCTCCCCGAGCACAAAGAACTAGGTGTTGTCTTCAATGATAGGTCGTGCAAAGTACCTCATGTTCAGGGGCGGTTGTGGAAGTTGGTCTCCTTGTCCCGCCATTGGTTCAGGTTCAGGTTGCGGTTGTGGCTCTTTGATATTAAGCTCAACAAAAAGGTCGAGTGCCGGTGTCTCCTCTCGGGGTCTACGCCCTCGTTTACCTCGCATAAACAAAACCAACAACTATACCCGTGAATGCACCAATGTGAAACAAGGCAAAATGCAAGCAACAAACACAAATTATCAACAAAAAGCAAGAGAAATCAAGAGAAACACGGAAATTAAGCAAGCTTCACAAAAATCAAGAGAAACACAAGAAAAAGAGACAATCAAATAGCAAATTAGGCATCTTACTTGCCTTCCCCGACAACGGTGCCAGTTGTTTAGCAAATGTTTGGTGGGAAAAGGATAACCGAGTTTCCCGACTCGGGTCGATCTCGAGGGAAGGCGATTCGGAGCTTTTTCTACTACTCGATTGTTCAAATCACACAAAAAGAGAAAATAAAGTCCTAGACATGCTAATCAATTGGTTTGAGATTGAATTTAACACTGAGAGAGCAATTAACTAAGAGAAATGTCAAATCACGAGTAAATAACAAAGCTAGACCACTGGAATCTCATGTCATCAACACTACAAGATGATAATCAATGACAAAGCAGAATAAACGAGCTATGAGCATCATATAATTAACCCTAGCCTTCTAACCCTAAGTAATTAAGCCCTAATCGGGTCTTAACCCTTGACCTAGATCGACAAGCAATTAATCCCTATGTCTACTCAAGCACACATCCAAAGCAATCAAGTCGCGATTTTCCCTCCATCATCAATCAAACTCAAATTTACCCTAATAAACATTATAAGTAAACACGAGGTAAAAATCGAAGTAAAGAGCTTTAAAACTAAATACCCATTATTCAAATGCGTAGACGATGAAAAATTGAGTCAAAAGCTCGAAACTTGAGAGAAACAGAAGTCGCCGGAAAACCTCCTGGAAAATGACATGGTTTCTTAGTCTAGAGGGAAAAACATAAACATAAGCTAAGTTCCCAAAAGGGAAAACTGAAATGATGAAAGTTGGATGTTCAAAATGCAAAGGAAGAAAAATAATTATACTCCCCCTCAAAACACACACTAAAACATGCATATTAAATGGGACACTCTCGAGCTCTCCACGAAATCCGCGAGCTCGTCGGTGGCTGATAGGCGCAGGTGCATGGACACGCACGGGCGCGCACGGGCGGGCGCGGGGATGCACGGGCGCTGGCTTGAAGAATGCGGCACTCTCGACGTCGCAGCCATATCTGCGAGGCGCGGGTGTGTAATGCATTAGAGGTTGGCGGACTCTCGAGCTCACGAGAGTATTCGCGAGGGCACGAGTGGGCGTTCGAGCGTGCGATGGGCGTGCGTGCGCTCTCGACCTTGTCCGGCCTTCCGCGAGCGCGCGGGCGCAGGACGTGCGACACTCTCGAGCTCGCCTGGTCCTCCGCGAGGTCGCGGCTTGGGGCGTGCCCGTAATCGGTTGCTGTGTGCATCCGCTAGGTCGTTGGTCACGGTGTGGGCTCGCGAGTGGGCAGGTCAAGGCACGTCCGGGCTCGACTATGGACTCAAAATACTCGATTGGAAATGGTCGTACGAATGTCTCAAAAATGCTCGTTTTCTCGAGATGTGACTCGACACTTTCTCTCCATCCTCGGAACAAACCTTAAATTATTCCCAAAAGCACGAAAAAGTACGTCAAAAATATAAAATAAAACAAAAGACACAAAACACACGGAAAATGATAAAATGGACCGGTCGACCCTAAAACGAACCAAAAACCTACTCGATAACACACATAAACACATAAAAATAAGCAAAAAAACATAACAAACACTATCCGAGGTCTTCACCATAAGACCAAGAACTTCGACTTCCATTATCCACAGCAACTTAACACTTTTTAACGTGTGCTCGATCGATTTACACGAGTCGACGAAGTTCACGTACATACACGACAAAAGTTATAACGAAACAAAATAAGCACATAAAATCACAACTCATATACACACGAAAAAAAATATTAAACGAAGGGTCAAGGCTCGATACCGTTCTCGAGAAACGCGAGAAAGGCCCGAACGGAAAGAAGAACGGTACGACGGCTCGCCATGGAAGGAGGACAACGGCTCGATTGGTCGCGTAGGAGCAGCTTACTCGCTGTTGGGGTCGTGATAGTGATGTTGCTGCGTCGCGGGAGGGAGCAACAGGTCGTCAAAACTTGCTATTGATTTGCGATAGAAGAGGGTGGCGCTGGCGATAGAGGAGGGTTGCTGCGAAGGGAAAAGGACTGGGGTCTGCGTGCGATGATGGTAGCGACAATGAGAGATGATGATGATGCAGTTGACGATGGTGATGATCGATGATGGTTGCAGGAACGAAAATGATAGAGAAAAATCTCTTTTGCTGTTGATGGCTATCGCAAGAGGGAGAGAAAGTTTGGCTGCGTGATTTTACTTCCTGCTGAGGGTAATCTCATGCCTTTATAGGGCTAGGTCTAGGTGTCCTATGCTTAGCTAATAAGCAACCAAGAGGTAGGAATCCGGTTCGGGCTGCCGGTTCGGTCCGACTGAGCGCGCTGTTCAAAGACCGGCCTACTCAATTCGCCAGTAATAAAAATCGAGGCTTGAAACGATCGTTCGATAATTAAAATAAAACGAGATATTTATATATATAATACACATATAATATTTATTATAAATAACATTTAGAAACATTTAGGCAAATTATATATTTAATATAAATATTATTACTGATAATAATAACAATCAAATAATATATATATATTTTAGGACAATTAATAGGAATTTTTTTTTTTAATAAACCGCACCCCAGTGTGAGGTGGGGGGTTGAGGCTACACCCCCGACCTGTGAATATAATGGCCTTGAATGGGCTAATAAGTCAAGGTTCTACTACAATGTCGAAAGTACATAAGATAACAATTTAGCATCTAGACATTTAATATAAATAACAATAATATCCAAATGTAAATATCAAGAAATTAATCAAATACATAGCAATTAGACGATAAATAATAACAAATAAAAATAATAACAATAATAATAATAAATAAAATTCTCAATTAACTCTTATCCGAATGGGGTATTACAGTCTATCTACCTTACAAAGAATTTCGTCCTCGGAATTCAAAAATAAAACTAGAAAGTAATAAAATACAAAGGGGAACTCAGAACATAAAGTTCAGATATCGCCTCCTAAGCTCGGCCTCCTTTTTCCAAGTCGCCTCCAATTCGTCATGTCGGCTCCAAAGCACCGTCACCAAACTCACTGCCCAGTTCCTCAACTGATGGACCTTCTGGTTCAAAATGGCCACTGGTACCTCCTCATAGGGAAGGTCTCGCTCGACCTGTAGTTCGCCGAAGTCCAACACATGATCGGGGTCATGCACGTATCTCCGCAACATCGAGACGTGAAACACGTCAAGCACTCCCGACAAGCTCGGTGGTAAAGCCAGCAGATAATCCAAGTTCCCAACTCGGGCAAGGATCTCGAATGGCCCGATATAGCGAGGTCGAAGCTTCTCCTTCTTCCCAAAGCGAATCACACCCTTCATGGGCGAGTCCTTCAGGAAGACATGATCCCCAGCGACATACTTGTGCTCCTGCCTCTTCCGATAAGCATAGACTTTCTGCCTCTCTTGGGCAGACGGATATGCTTCCGGATAGCCTCAACTGTCTCCGAAGCCCTCAGAATGAACTCCGGACCCATAATCTTCCTCTCCCCAACCTCATCCCAGTACAAGGGTGTTCGGACCTTCTGTCCACACAGAGCCTCGAACGGGGCCATCTTGATCGAGGAGTGATAGCTATGTTGTAAGTCAGCCAATGTTCTAGAAATCGCTAGGCGCCCGCTAGGCGCTCAACCAGCGCCTAGAGCGCCTAGTCAGGGCCTAGGCGGGGCCTAGAAATTGTAATAAATATATTTATTTTTTTATTATTTCAAAATTTCACTAATGAAATCACAATTTGTAATTAATAAATCTATATACCTAAGTCCCAAAGATATTATTAATATAATATTATAATGAAAACAATCAAACATAATAGCAATTAACAACCCACATGACCACAAGATTGTACTTATTGCAATTTTAAAACGAACTCCAAGTCAAAATAAGTACATAATCACTACTAACTACTAAGTACATAAGCACAATCTTAAAGCAAAATCCAAGTCTAAAACAAACTCAAAATCAACTCCAAGTCCAAATAAAATAACTACATTAAAACTAATAAACACCTAACCACAATCTCAAAATAAACTCCAAGTCCAAAACAAACTCAAAACAAAATCCAAGTCTCAAAATAACCCAAATGACCAAAATCCAAAACACTTCTAAGAACTAAGAAATATTACAAAAAGGATCTTCTTCTTCTTCCCCATAATTCTCCAATACACGTTCTTCATCCGACTCAAAGTTAATATCATTCTCATTGACTTGTTCCTCCTCCTCGAATTCAAAATCCTCTTCCTCAAGCTCTCTCACTATTGATGTGTCATCCTCAACTTCAAGTCCATCAACCCCCTCATCTTCATCCTCTACTAATCCCGGAATAATCCACTCTTGTGCTTTACTTGCCTCATTAGCAAGTAAAACATCATTTTCACTCCCCCATTTGCATTTGTTCAATAAACGCGAATTGAATTGGACATAAACTAGATTGTTCAAGAGCGAAACATCTAGCCAATTCCTTTTTTTCGTATGTATCCGAAGAGCATATTAAACGACATTGTATAATATGCAAAAATTAACAAAACAATTTAATGATAATAAATCCTACTAACCCATTCGAATGTAGTTCAATTCCTTTCGCACCCGAACGAGCTTGTGGTTAATGATAAGATTCTTATGGCAATCCTTTGCAAATTAGGCGTTCCATACCCATAATTTAACCACCAAGTAGCTATGCATGAAAAAAAAGGATAGAAATTAATATGAAAACAAAATCATTTTAAAGTCATTTAAACTTTAAGGACAAGTTTAAGACTACTCATAAAAAATAAATATAATTTTCTAATACATATAAATTATCACATAAGAGACAAGACATAAATAAAAATAAAAATATAAATTATTATTTACCCAGATCAAACTTTGCGCCGTTCACTTCACAACCTTTTGCGGCAATTGGCTTCCCGAAGACTCCTCCCCTTGTCTTATAAATTGGCAACTCAATGTTCATGATTTTACTCATCAAATCAAAGTCACCATGGAAAATGACATCAAGAAAATCAAGAACTCCATCCGAAACAACTTGATCTAGTATGAGATTCGGGTCCTTATAATGATAATAAGAATTTAATAGATATGCTATCAAGTGCAACGGAGTGTCCAATCTACCCGTCATCTTCGTGTCAATGATCTCTAAGATGGGTTCATAGTTCTTGGCAAGATTTTTCGAGGCAATTTTTATATCCTCTTTGGCATACATAGGTTCCCCATACAAAAAACCCATCGACGACTTTCTATCGACATCCGCTATACGAAGAACATTCACCAAAGGAGCAAAAATAGTAAAAAAGATCTCACACCATTCCAAAAACCAATAGACATCACGGTGTTGTAACTCGCTTTCCCTTGACCGTCTTGGACCATTTGCATCATCCCACTCGGAGCTAGAAAACACCTCCTTTAATTGTGTTTTCTTTTCCATCAAACTTTGCAAGATAAGAAAAGAATAGGCAAATCGTGTGACCCCGGGTCTTACTATGTCCCTTCTTTTAGTATAAGACCTCATCATGGCTAAGGTCTTATGATGCGCATATATAAATATGGTCAATGCCTTTGTTTGTTCAATTGTTTTGTAAGACCTCATCATGGCTAAGGTCTTATGATGCGCATATATAAATATGGTCAATGCCTTTGTTTGTTCAATTGTTTTATTGAACCGGGGTAGCTTTGCAATGCCCTCCAAGATGAGATTCATGGTGTGTGTGGCACATGAAGTCCAAAAGATAGTTGGCCTTTTCGTGCGCAATAATTTTGCCGCTCCCATCTTGTTTGAAGCATTGTCCGTCACAACTTGAACAACATTCTCGGGCCCAACTTGTTCAATGCATTTATACACATACTCAAATATCATTTCACTTGTGTGTGACACATCGGAAGATTCCTTAGAAGAGAGAAACATTGTTCCGACTTTAGAATTCACACACAAATTCATGATACTTCTTCCCTTTCTATCACTCCAAGCATCCGTCATAATCGAGCAACCACTCCTCTTCCATTCATCTTCATGAGGCTTCACTTTGAGTTTGGTCCTCTCAACAGCTGTTTTCAACAATGGCTCTCTCACCTCATATTGGCAAGGAGGCTTCCACTTCTGCCCAAATTGACCGAGTGCTCGGTGAAGAGCCGAAAGCTATCGAGATCAAGTGTATTAAAAAAAGTCGGATTCATAAACCCAATCGACTAAATAATCTTTCACCAAATTTGATCGTTCCTTCCAAATATCATCACTAATGTTTTGTTGTCGCATTGTCTTTGCCATATTCAATGATGCTTCCGGGTTGATAGTTGTAGCAAATCTATTCATTGGGCCAAGAGAGTGAGCTTCTTGGCATTATTGAGAGGAATTCGACCCTTTAATATTAACCGAAGAAAGCAACTCTTCTTGAAGTTCTTTTGTCTTCACCTTCTTTGCTTTGGACTCATTGATGGCATTTCTACATTTGGTTTGATCTTTTTTTGTTGCTTTCTTACATGAAATGACATTCCCAGAAATTTGACCAATGTGCTCTTTCAATCGACGTATACCGCCCGACATGACTTTCTCACATAACAAGCATTTAACTTTATCTTTGTTATGTGGATCGGCTAGAACACCATAATTCCAACCTATGTCATCGGACTTTCTTTTAAGAAGAGAGTCAGTCTCGATCTCATTGGATGTCCGAGTATCACACGGAATTCTTTTTGATGTTGAACTACTATCACTTGCCACTGAAAAAACCTAATAAAAAAAGAGCGAAAAAATATATAAGTAAGGTTGTTGCAAGAAAGAACACAAATACACAATGAACATAAATTATACTACTATCCTTTTTTTCATTTTTCATATTTAAAGTTTTAAATTTATACCAAGTTCTTCTCATTGTAATTTTATCAAATACATTAACTACATGTTATATTTCAAACATTACACAACATAATATAATTATCACAACCAACTAAACACCAAATTTCACTAATCACATCAACAAATTTACTAATTAACTTAACATAAATAAATTAATAATAATACAATAAAACAAATGATTCATGAATAACAAAATAAAGGAATGAAAAAAACATGTGCCCCACTGATACAATAAACAATCAAACATACAGACTCTTTTCAAAAATGAGGTTGTGGTCAATTTTTGGACTTTCACTAATCAACATATCCCATTTTTCATATTTTTATTTTTCGTACAGCATCACGCCATTACCTGATCACCCTAGTTATTTTATAAAAAAAAAATGAAAAGTGAAATTGATAATGAGCTGTCATCTAATTATTTTAACTTTAACTATACAAAAATATAAAATTATAAAAGTGATAAACATAAAGTCATAAACATATATCCATTCTTTAGTCTTTACAATTTATCCCTTTTTCTAAGTTTTCTTTTCAGCTTTCAAAAATCAAAACTTAAGACTAAAAAATAGTATGAGTACCTTAGAGAGGTTGTTGAGTATTCATAAAGGCAAAAAGATTGGCGACTGACGGACGAGGGGTGAACTTCAATGGAGATAGGCGGTCCGGCAAGAGATGGAGACTGGAGGTCGATGATGAACGAGAGTACGGAGGGTTTACTATTCAGTGTTCTGTTCTCTTCTGCTTATGCGTAATAGTTAAGACGATGTTATTGTTTAATCTGCTAGATTTATTTGGACCATTAAGTGATAAATTAAGCCCCTTTTTATTTTTTATATGTAATGATCTAAACTAAACGACGTCATTTCTTCGTTTAGTAATTAAAAAAAATAAATTCTGTCAAAGCCGCCGAGAACCCGCCTCAGCCGCCCA